TCTTGAAAAACTCGTTATATCAAATTGGAGATGGGCAGTTTTTCGTTGAACCGACGCATTTCATTATATTTTGTAATTGGATACATTTCATCAATAAAATGGATACTTTTGAAGTAATACTACATCCGATTATGCAAACTCGAATGAAAAACTGTGGAATATGTTTAATATGGAAAAAAGATATAACACAACACAGGAGTGACCACGCCTGCAAGGCCGACCCATGCTACCCGATGAATTTGAATTTTGAACGAACCCACTTGTTCTTCCCGCCTTCTCCATCGTTGAGTTTTCCCTCGCGCTAAATGTTGAATATCTATTTCTTCAATTGTCTCGTATTCAGCTTTGAGGATCGTGTGGTCAGGGTCCAACACCACTATACTACTCTCCCACCAGAATCAACGTAGCATTGGTTCGATACCAAATAGAGTGGGATTGTTTTGTACAGGAGGTTACTATGAATAATAAGAATCCTCTGGGTATTGATAAGAAATTCGAACGCTTCACTTATTTCTGAGGTTTATGCTGATGATGTCGTTCAGAAGAACGATGAAAGCTCCACGACCATCCAGCTCAGATAACAAAATATCACCAAAATCTTCACCTAAATTTTCATTTCAGGCGTGTTAGACAATGAAACACATTTTAGAGTTACTACATGTGGTTCCCGATCAGTTGCTTGATTTGTCTTTCAGCTTATCAATGCCCGGAGGATTCTTATTATTCATAGTAACCTCCTGTACAAAACAATCCCACTCATTTGGTATCGAACCAATGCTACGTTGATTCTGGTGGGAGAGTAGTATAGTGGTGTTGGACCCTGACCACACGATCCTCAAAGCTGAATACGAGACAATTGAAGAAATAGATATTCAACATTTAGCGCGAGGGAAAACTCAACGATGGAGAAGGCGGGAAGAACAAGTGGGTTCGTTCAAAATTCAAATTCATCGGGTAGCATGGGTCGGCCTTGCAGGCGTGATCACTCTTGAGCGTTGTGTTATATCTTTTATTCATAACGAATATATCGTTATATATCTAGCTTACGCCTGTTCTTCATCATGTATTTGTTATTGTTACGAAGTAATGTGTTGATGTTGAGATCGATGTGACTTACACTTATGATATTATAGATTAAGCGGTTTCATCATGATAAATCTACAGTTTTAGGATGAGGTCCATATTATAGCAGTACTTATATCGAAATAAACCATAGTTGTAGCAGGTGTCATCTTTGGCTCTATATTTAGATAATGGACGCGTCTAAATACCTATCGGTTAGTGTTACTAGCAGAATGATCATGTTACTTGAAATATAGTTCAGGCATATAGAACCGTAAAATCTGTAAATTGAGCAACACGTATTTCATAATAAACGTTCAAGCTGAACCAATCAACTAATCGCTAAATGGGATTAATCAGCTGCCTAAGGTGATTTTTATAGATTTCATCAAAGAACTTTTTAAGATTTATCACTTCGGACTTAATGGTGAGCTCCTGATGTTTGGAATTACAGTTTCCGTACAACAATGGATAAGCCGCTTCCTCTGGGGTCGAAGACATGGGATGATCGTAAATAGGACACTACTGGTATTGGTTTGTGGATTGTCAAGTTT